CCCCCTCAGGCGCGATCACTGAATCAAAGTATGCTGTCTATGCAATAGTATTTAAATGAACAGGATTATTAAACTAATTTAATCATTATGGTTTCTAAAGATATCAACTATTAGAGATAAATATTAAATATAAACTCATATCACTGAATCGCCTGGGTGTATAGCCCGCCAAAAGGTATAACTGCTGTACTCAGTACTGTATGTAGTCTGCTATGTCTACAACTTGTCGTATGGGCTAGATACCCTGTGGTAGTGCTGACTAGACATACCAATTCGTAATAATTTACAATAATTATAATTATAATTTATAATAATTTATAATTTCCAGAAGGACCCCACTGGAAATAAGTCTTCTTCTAGACTTTTGTGGGCTATCCTTGGTGTTTACATATTTATAAATAAATAAATAAATAAATAAATAAATAAATAAATAAATAAATAAATAAATAAATAAATAAATAAATAAATAAATAAATAAATAAATAAATAAATAAATAATAAATAAATAAATAAATAAATAAATAAATAAATAAATAAATAAATAAATAAATAAATAAATAAATAAATAAATAAATAAATAAATAAATAAATAAATAAATGAATGAATGAATAAATAATTAAATAAATAAATAAATAAATAAACCAAAACATTGTATAAATGAATACAGTAGTTGTTCTAAGCTATGGTTAAAGTTTACAAATATTCACTGGATGTTAAAAACAAATTCCAGGGTGTCACACCCTCTTTGGGCAAAAAAAAAATTCTAGCTGATTTTTTTTTTTGTTACAATATGAATATTAGTGCAAAATGTGAATTTATATACTGATGTTCAGGCCTAATTATATATTATCATTGTTTTAATTTTGTGTGATAGTTGCATATAATAATCTTTGAATTATTCTGTAATGATTTCCTGTATTGAAACAAAAAATCTCACAACATTGTCATCCCAAGGTATTTATAATCTACGCATCTCATATTATAGGCCCTATATATTTCTCAAAATAATCATGTACTAGGCCTACAGTAGATGTATTTATCTTTTTCCAGACGTTATTTTTTAGATTGCTTTGATAAATCATCATCGACATTGTTTTTAAATTATTTTAAATATTCATTTTCCCCCTAGGCATTCAATAAAGTTACAAATTGATGACTGACTTGATGTTTTGCATGTTTTACATTAGGCCTACATTTGAACCAGGGGCGGATCCATAATTTTTCACGGGGGTGGGGGCACAGTTAGTGGCAAAGTGGGAAGTACGTCCCCCGTGCTCCCTACTGGATCCTCCTCCACGGAACATAAACTTTTGTTGTCATACTATAAATTTGAATTTCAAAATCAGGTTTTTTGACCGGACCGAATCACAATGCGCACGCTCAGTCAATTAAATGGCAACATCAACATTCCCAGCGTACGCGCGACGATTAACAGAATTCGATCCAACTCGGCCACAAGTCAACTCGGCCACAAGTTAACTCGGCCACAAGTCAACTCGGCCACAAGTTAACTCGGCCACAAGTCAAACACATGTGTGTTTTTCCAGACTACCCTGGGCCTACTCCGGGTGCTCGAAGTCAAACGTAAGTTTTGGTCATCCGTGAAATTTGCTTTCAGTGTATAGCAATCGGCATAGGCCTAGGCCTGGTTTAAGAGAGCTAAATGAGTCTAACCATGAAGGTATTATAGTAACTAAAATGATAAAAAGATGAAGACATTTCTGTTTAGGCTAGGCCCTGGCACACTTACTTTAGGCCTGCCTAGGGGCCGTGACGAAGTAGGCCTAGCAGTAGTGTGAGCCAAATGAGTCATGGGAGGCAGCGAGCTAAATATATCAATATTAGGCGCTAATGAACTTTCACACCTAACTTTTAATTCTTAATTAAAAAATGTAATGACCCAAATGTGTACACAGATAGAAAAATAGGGCCTAGGGGCCTAAGCCTAAATCCAGAAAAACAACTATCAAAGCCAATGATAAACGTTGGTTCGATTAACCTCGATACGACAAGAAAGTTCAAAAAGATGGTACTCATCATGCCACATTTTGTTGTCGGATGTTTATGGGAAAATTCCGATTAAAATTATAAGACTGGCCTTTAATGGTTTCAAAATTTAAGAATTGACTTGGACATTCTGGCAATTACTTACTTAATTGCTAAAAAGTCAAGTACATCACGTTGTGCTAGCAAAAGCGGAAACCCTGTATCAACCTATATTTATAAAGGTATCTTTCTGTTGAAAAATGTACTTTATGAGTGGTTGAATCATGTAAAAATGTTTTATAATTATATGTTGTGACTGTGAGAAGAAAATTAAGGTAAAAAAATTAAGAATTAAAAGTAGGTGCGAAAGTGCATTAGCGCCATTATGGCACATAAAAACGATAGTCGGAAATAAAAAAAAAAGGCCTTAAAATATTTTAAAACCCCCATTAGAAAAAAAATGCATGCGTTAGGCCTAGGCTACTCTAATTATTATAAGGAAGTGGATATATTTATGTCGCCATAAACAAATCAGGAAACGATATATTCACGTAAAATAGAGAGTGCATGCGCAGTCACACTTCAATAAACTTGCATAATCAGTCACATATCACTTCTGGTTAAATGTATGTTGGGTTCAACTTTCAGGACTTGAAATTAGCGTCGGCCCAAGCTGCGGTGCCCAAGCTCACCATGGCACTGATTTGCTAAGGCCCTTTTGTTGGCGAGTTTCCATGAATTCATGGTAGCCATACGTAAATCAAATCCCCCAAACGTGTAAGTGTAAGTCATGTTAAATTATATTAACTTGACCAAACATTTTTTTGTACAAACAATTAAATAAGTTTCTGCTCTTTAAAAAAAACCATTATTCAACAACACACGACCGAGTCAAAGGCAAAGCACATGAAGAATTGCTGAATGAATTTTTATAAACAGTTTACGACAGGGTTTGACGTTCGATAATTATAATTTTGCCATTCTTATTAAACATATTGAATTTGCTACAGTAGTATGCATTCCAATCATTAAATAAATCATTGAATCATTTTGATAATGAGCTAGAAATAAGCCTATTTGTATTCTTTTCACTCTACTAACGTCATGACGTACAAGTGAGGCTGTTTATTCCACACGCTCTCTGCATCCATACTTTGTAGACACATGCACAGCATGGTATTTCATTAAAATGAACTGCCAATGTTGTTTTTGTTAGTGTTTAAATAAAACATTAAAAATATTTGTTTTATCTTACTTTATTCGTAATGATTAAATATTTTAGAGAAAACACACGCTTCTTTACTTTTGCTGCATAGCATACTTCGTAGAATGTGGATCACATGCTCTCTAAATGTTCTTTTCACTCGATCGGGACTCGACAATCGACTTGACTAAAGAATGTTAACAATGCTGTTTTTTTAGTGACGACGTTGGTAAATGTGTTTGAATTAAAACATTAAAATGTTATTTACTTTGTGATGATTGACTATCGTACAACAATACAGGCTTAGGCCTAGAGAATATCGTTTTGGTTTTGAGGTAATTGAGTGCTAGTTTTAGCACTTCATGTTTTGGCGTAGGCTTAGTAATATTGTACTTAGTCAAGTGTGTTCATTCAACATATGACGCTAGTAAAATGACAAGAACAAAAATATCTCCAGCTGATATCACTTTTATTTGAAAAGTTAACACAATGATTAAATAATATATTTAATGATTAAAATACATACTATAGTAGAAAACTAAATTAAGTTTAATAAAAACAAAATTAGGCATTTAATGAAATCTGTGCCGTTGTAGGCTTGCACACCGCAGCTTGGGTCGACGCAAATTTCAATCGAGAAGTTTATTGAAGTATGACTGCTCATGCGTTATTTATATCACGTAGATATATCGTTTACTGATTTGTTTACTATCACCTAAATTTATCCACTTCCTTATTATAAACCATGGAAAAATATTGGCATCAATATTAGTTTTACGCAAAAGGAAAAAAAATAAGAAATAGAGACTATTAATTTTAATTTTACTTCAAAAAAGCTGATTTTGGTAAAATTTCTCAAAATATTACAACCAGGAAAATATGGTTTCGGTAAACTTTTTTGCAAAAATTTAAAAATAATCAGTAACTCTGTTAGTAATTATGCAAGAGTGTTGAATTTATTGTCAAATTGTTCAGAATACATTAACACATGTTTTTTCTCAAGCTATTGAATAATATATGCAATGAATAATAGTACGGTAAATCAAAGGATAGTAACTTTGGTATGGAAATTCACCTCCACTGTTCAATGTTGGATCTAAGAATTCAAAGTAGTGGTGGCCCAGAAAGGGACTTTCCCAGATGAAGAGTTCAGACCACTCAGCCCAACCATGGTTGGGGCTGAGGTAAGAAAATTTATGATTATGCCACCTCTAAATTATTTATTTATTAAATGGCTGGAAATGGCAGTCTCAGACCTAAATTAATATTTTGTTTATTTTTTTTTATATAATTTATAAATTCTCTTTTCTTTAATCTGTATGTACTGCAGGCCTTGATATGATTCAAGCTGCAAGATCATAAGATATGCAGACAAAAAAAACTATAGTAAGTTGGTTTTCATTTTAATGATGACTGACATTTGCCTGTCATGAATTTCTACTTGACGTATTTCTGAGTGGTAAACAAATCATTAGGAATCCCTCTTTGACATATAAAATACAAACATAGCTCACAATGTTGTAACACAACTCTCAAATAAACTTTTATTCTGTATAAACTCCAACAAGAATCGGGTATCAAAATAACACATTCACATTAACATGTGTTTCAAATAGAGCTTCCTAGAAAAACCAAGCTCTCACCTTATATACATTAGCTCTAGAACTCCAGAGCATTCAAGAGCATTCTATATTACCTAAGTTCCTCATTGGTCACATAACATCATAATTAACCAATAGGCTTATTGCCTCTACATTACCCATAATTCCAGAAAGTTTAAAAAAAATACTCTTGGATTCTACATGGTGTCATGTATTCCTATAATTACCAATGTGGTTTACACTGTTTGTTTGATCACATAAATGTACTTCTAGAATGTTCTATGTAATAAATATGTTACAGTAAGGAAAGAAATGGTAATTTATTACATTGCCAAAAGTCAAAATCAATTGAAATAAGTTGTTTTTACTAATAATAATAATAGTGAAAATATAGGGATTTATAGCATGCCTTTTGCCAAGGGATAGAAGTTGCTAACACGTTTATATTTGAAATACAATCTTTCATTTTTTTTTTCAGAGAATGCAAGTGTAAAGATGACACAGTAGACCAACATAAGATGATTATGGATTCAAACAAGAAAGAGTGTGATGCAAAGATTTCCAATCAAGCTAAAGCATTCTTCAAACTGATGCCAAAGTCCCAAAACGCAGTATTAGACAAACAAGGAAATAAGCAAGCAGTTGCTGTGGATTTTGAGTACACTTATCCAGTAAGGAATAAGTTCATGTAATAATTTGAAAGTGCAGTAAACTGTACATTTTTCTGACCTAGCATTTAATAAAATATTTAGAGTGTCTTCTTTTTGGTGCCCAATAATTAATATAGACCTGAATATAATATATAGACCTGAAAATTCCTGTTTTATGTGAAAAGTGCCTGATAGTCGGCGGCCGACGCGATTATAAGGAGATCACAATGACACAATGCCCGCACAATGAATCATTCCTAAGGATGATTCGTTCAGGCTCAGTGAGTGCCAGGCCTAAGATAATCACAATTTTTCTTTATCTCCTCAGTTGAAATTGATGATTCCAAAGTTTGCTAGTACCAACAACTGTGTTTGGGTTTACTTTATTAGTTTTGGAGGTGGATTAGTGGAGGGTGACAAGCTTCAATTCAGTGTGGAAATTGGTACGGAATGCTGTTCAGTTATTACCACTCAATCATCGACTAAGGTTAGTTGTTCTTACGTTTTTTTTATGAAAACAATGTCATAGGGGAAAACTTTCTTCCAACATTTTTATTGTTAAAATTTGATATTCATTTATACTATGCTGTCTTTGTTATGATAAAAAAAATAATCAAGTAATATAATTTTATGTTGTTTTGTTTAGATCCTTAAAAAGCTTAATAGTATTTTCAAAAGCTTAAATTTGCAAAACTTAATGTCCTGTATGCCATGATTCATTTATAAAGTACATACATTTTTAAAAATCTTCAAAAGATATAATGCATAATTTTATAATAGGGAGAGATAATATTGATGCATTACTATGCGTGTCCACAGGTCAGCCACAGCTCAGATTTCTACCAGTTTTTAAGGTTCACGCTTATTTGAACACCTTTGCATGTTTTGGAACACGTTTTATTATAAAAGTATGCGGCGAGTCGAGTTAATTTTAAGGCACGCTCGCCTATGGTTTGGAAGGTGGAAGACTTGGACAAGGACTAAACCGTAGGCCCAGTGTACACAATTTGTGGGTTACCTATTGTGCTGGTCCATCTCATTTCACAGCCCCTGCCATTGTGAACTCATCCAGATGTTGAACAAGCATTGATGAGTAATTGCATAGAATTGGAAAGAACCCTTCATCACTAAGTATACAAGTTGTAATAGTGCTAAAACAAATCTGATAATTAGTTCATTAAATCTTGGTTTATTGCTTTTGAATTTGTGGTGTTATCCTGTCGAATTTGGATCCATTATTCATGATTTGAGTAACAATATTTGGTAAGTATGAATGTTAGTAGAGTCATTTTCTTGAGATCTGTGACTAATTTTAGGATACCTTTTTTTCTCGATGGATTTGGCAAGATGGACCAATTTAGATAAAATATAGCTCCTATATACCTCCCAGATATGAGGGGAAAGTCCCGTTTGGGGGCGTTTTCAAAATGGCCGCCTGTTGATTTGGACGCTTGTATCTCGATAACCACTAGTCAGAGAGACTTAATTTTGGTCTCAAATTGTTCACAGATATGCATGTTCCTATTTGTTGTAATACAACTTTTTATCCAAAAATGGTGGGAAATGCGATTTTTGAAAGTTTGACCTTTGACCTTGTATTGTCGTATCTCGGTAACTATACACATCTAGATGTGTATAAGAGACAGGGATAGAAGTTGCTAACACGTTTATATTTGAAATACAATCTTTCATTTTTTTTTTCAGAGAATGCAAGTGTAAAGATGACACAGTCTG